AAATATATTAATTATATTAATATAATTTATACTTATATTAATTATATCAATTATAATTTTAATACTTACAATTCTTATTTAAAACTAAAGTATTTTTATATTGATAATTTTAATGGTATGGAGTAAACATGGCGATATCTTTTTTATAATATATTAATTATATTAATATAATTTATTCTTATATCTATCTATTTAATAACTTTTATTTATAACATACTTCTTGCTTATTTTTAGAAGAGTCATTAGCTTAGTATATCTTCACTAAAGTAGAAGAACAATTATTTGATGTTGTATTTGACTTGCCTGTTGTTGCTAATTTTATAGCATAAAGATCACTTGTATTTTTTATTATAATATGTAGTTGTGATTAAAATAATTCAATAATTGATTTTAAATTATTGTTATTTATGTACTTGTGTTATTTTAATTTTAAACTTAATAAATTATATAATTTAAAATTTTAATGAACATTATTATCCAAATCTTTTTTCGATATTATTTCATTTATCGGGACGGCGGGACGTCCCGATTTTGTCCTGGTCCCGTCCCGACTCTTAACGGGACAGGACGGGACACGGGACCAAAATTCAGTCCCGATCTTTTTTTCGGGACGGGACACGGGACGGGGGTGTCCCGGTCCCGTCCCGTCCCGTGAACACCCCTAATCAAACATGGCGGACAAGTCAGCGTACGTGCTTAGCGTACTGGCATTGGTGCCAGAGGCGAGAGCGATGCTAATGGACGAAGGAGGAATTCTGATTGAAACAACCCCAACGCAAAATTCATACTTAATCATATCCTACCATGATAGTAAAAGATTCACCTATCATGGTAGAAAAGGAACAACCTAACTATCATAGTAGAACAAGAACTACCCTTACTTCTACCATGATATTTTGAGCAAGCCTAATTAACTAGCATGAGTTTTTATTATGGCAGAAAAAGGTCTTCAAGCAGCATTCAAGCAGGACATGTTAAAAGTTCTCTTTTTCCAACATATACATATATCAAACATATGCGCACATGCAAATTTCCTAACACACAATCTAGCACACATTTATGTCACAAAATAACAACTATAAATAAATAAATAAAGAAAAAATGATATAATTTATGACCTTTGGTCAAATCTCTTCAACTCGAGGCCCAAAGATTAAAACAATATACATTTTGAAGTAAAACAAAAGTAAAAGTATTGAACAAATGATTAAGTAAATGCAACTATTCCTATGGTGTGGCAGCAAGGCTAGTCTCCGAGCAATACCTCAAGGAGCTGGTGTTCCCTACCTATTCCCTTGCCTAAGCTTCACTAACTATTCTTATAGTATTTAAAATAAAGATAAGACAATGTCTCAGTAATCTTTTTAAAGGTTATAGTATATCTTAGGTCGATAAATAACTTGATCTAGTGAATTTTTACAATCAACTTTCAAACAAGCATGCTAAAAGAAGTTTAATCCATCATTTGGGAAGCTAGCATGCTTAAAATGAAATAAAAACATCTTCATAATTGAATTAAAAAACACAAGCATGCTAGTCAGTCTAAAATATACAACTCAAGGAAATAACATAACAAAGTCAATATTCAAATAACAAACTATAATTACATTGATTTACATATCAAACTAAATAATACCTTGAAAATTCCTTTCAATTAGTAGTTACATATTTTTATCATTTTTTATTCCACCTTATCTCCTTCTTATTTCGTTATATTGAGATTCTAGGTGATAGGGGATGGTGCCTAGCTAAAGGCCATATCAGTCCTAATCAAGCCTCGATCTCCCCCTTTTGATCATAAGGGGCACCCAAATGGTATCGATTTCATTCCAACCCTGGTTAAAGGAATCGAGTGCCTCAAGTACATATCAAAGCCACTTAGTGCACACAATATAGGGGTGAGTACATGATCACGATCTAACCTTATTTTCTTATTTTAAATTCATAACCTTCAGGCCTTTCATAACAACACAGTTCCAATATATTCCATGTCAAATCACAATTTTCATAAGTATTTCTCAAAATTTTTAACATTTATCATTATATAGACATTATCAATCTTAATATATTATATCTGTTCAAACAACTTGATCAAATTCCAATCAAACAAATTATGATCAACATGAGTCTATCTAGTCCTAAAAATTCCAAACATGTAGAGGTTTTTCACTAACCATAGCTTCAAAAAAAATAATTCCTAAAAATTTACTTTGTTAACCACTGGGCCAAGTTTTCGCAAATGTTATCATAGGCATGCTATTTAGGTTCAATTCAATATTAGTATATAATAAAATATTTAGTTATTTATCCACACTAGCATATAAGGTAACCTGAAAAGAAATTACTTAGGCTTGAGTTCACTTAAAAAACCTGAGGTCTCTCAATAAAAGATCCTCCAACTATCTCAAACGTCAAAGTAAAATTAAGAAGTTCCTTAGAAAACTTCTAACACCTCCACCAACAAAAAATTGGAGAAATTAAAATCAAATCAAATTTAATTTAATTTATTTTTTATTCTAAGGTTGTCCCCAAAATACTCTTGGGAGCTATATGTAACTCTAAAACTACCCAAAAAAAAAATTCTATTAATTTAATTTAAAGTTTTTTTTTACCTTGAAGCTCTTCAATTTATCTCAAAGACTTCCCAAAACAATTTTAAGTTATGTTAATTGTTACTTTTGAACTTTGAAGTGCCTGTGAGCATGTTTTATAAGTCCTAAGCATCTAATAAGTTAAATTTTTATCCACAAATAATTTAAAATAAATCTCATTTAGTTATAATTTATTCCTTATGTTCATTTTTAATTTATAAGTTGCTTTAAATAGTTATAAAGTAATTTGAATAGCTCTCAGAGTTACTCAAAATAGTTTTAAAGTTACTACTCAACAATTCTATCTAGTCCTTAAGTCTCTCTCCAATTTTAAATCCACTTAAACCTAGTAATCTTACAAAAACAAGCTTTATCCTACTAGTTGGGATTGACTATATAGATTGTACAATAACATTGTGGTTTATCATTTATCAAGCTTTTAGAAATATTGTTACTTAAGAGGTATTGATCAACAACTTTTAAAAGTATTTTCTTTGGCCTTCCTTTGTCCCTTATAACATCCTAGAAATTTAAGAGCCAATTAAGCAAAGTAAAGAGGAATAATTGAGTTAATTAATGTGGTATGTGGCTAGAAAATCTAACTATATATTTGGTTATGATTTCAACTCTAAATTTAGGTTTGAAGTGAAGTTGGGACACCCGAGCATCAAAAGGTTAGGAAATTTGAAGGGTATATCTCTGTGCCACTTGTTGCGGCATACAACACATTCGTTGTGGTGCACAGATGACAAATAAAGAATGAGGACCTCTTTGTGCCATTCGTTATAACGTGTGCTGCGGCGTATGGCCGAAAAATTTCTCATAAGTGGCTCATGAATAGATTGAAATGAGAAGAGGGAAAGGAAGGAGAAAACGAGAGCTCATCTTTTTTTCTAATAGGGCTTTCATCTTTTTTTCTAATAGGGCTTTAGGATTTTGGACCTTTGAGAACATTTTGGAGCTTCTAATAACCTAAAGTAAAGTTCCTAAACCCTTTTCTCTTCCATTTCAATGAGAATTGAAGTTCGAGTTTGAGTTAGGATAATGATTTTTGATTCATATAAGCTATAGGTCTAAATCCATTAACTCAAATGGAGTTAATAGGAGTTATTGTGGGCGCGCGCGCGCGCGCACACACACACACACATTCTTCTCCAATCTTTATGTTCTTATTTACTTTTCTTCTTCTTCTTTTTAATGCCATTATTACTTTTTTTATTTTTTCTATAAACTATTGTTATTTTATTTCTCCTACTTATTCCTTTATCATTTATTATATTTTCATCTTATCTTTCTTTTATGTTTGTATGTATGTATCTTAGCTTGTAGATACTTTAAATTCTCTATTATGATTTATTAGAGTCCTTTTAAAATTAAGAGTTAAATCTCATCTATATTTGGTTTCATTATGATTTAGATAATATTCAAATAAGTATAATATCTTAAATAAAACAGTGAAGATAATATATATTTAATTTCACGTGCTTCTATAAATTTCTCATTCCTTGAAAATATGTTTTAAAAATTAAATCCTTAATATTTATCCCATTTTAAGTAAATTCTTCGTACTCAAACAATTATATAATAAATTCAATTTAGCATGGGATAATTTCTTCCTATTAATAATTAAGTCATACATTAAGATATTATGATTTTTTTAAAAATTCAAACTATCTTAAATTGTCTTAAATGTGATTTTATTCTATCTTCAAATCCAAAAATAATTATAAGAAACTTTCTAAAAAGGGAGGATGTTACACTGGTGCTATTGGTTGAATTTTAGAGGTGGGGCTATAGAGACAGAAGCAAATAGCAGTGGATATTTTTGTTATTTCATCAAAAACTTTAATGATAATTAAGTCTTTTAAAATTTAAGAGATATTATCACATTTTACATGATCGAATTGTTATTTTTTCAGAGGAATTTATTTGTTATTCTCCTCAATATTTACTAACCATTTATTTTTTTATTTTCTTTTGATTCAAATATGTAGTTTTATGGTGGTAAGCTGTAAATGTCGTACACTTGCATACATTATCACATGTGACGTGTGCATAAAATTCAAATCTCTGTCGTATTGTCGAAAGTCATGGCCTAGTATCCTCAGCCCATCCAATAGTGTAAAAAATTAAAAACAGCCCACAAACTATTTTGATAAAAAAAAAGGGAGAGCCAACGAACCTGTTAGATGTAACATCCCAATTTAAATTTTAATAGTTAATTTGGGTTAATAAAAATTTTGAAAAGTATTATTAAATTATTATTATAAAAAAAGGTATGAAAAAAATAATAATAATAATAAAAATAAAAAAAATAATAATAATAAATAAAAAATAAAATATTATTAAATTATTATTATTATAATAATAAAAAGAAAGAAAGGAAAAGAAAGGAAGAAGAAGAAGAAAGCGAATTCGTTTCGTCCGCCGCCTCAACAGTAACAATAATAAAATAATAATAAAAAGAAAAGAAGAAGAAGAGAGAGAAAATAATTTTTAAAAAAAAATGTGGGACCCACTGAATTTTTATAAAAACTCACCTTCCTTCATTTCCTCATTCATTCCTGCGCGCGAGCTGAGGCGGAGAGAAGCGAGTTGCCGGTGCGAAATATCTAAATTTTTAAGGTAAGAGTTTTTAATAGAATATTTAGGGTGTGATTTTAAGCTTTTCAAGACTAAGTAAGTGTTCTAAAATTTTTTCTTAGTCATCCTTTTTCTTTAGTTTCTGAGTTTGTAGTGGTAGAAAATTTAAGATCTGAAAGAGGGATGAATTTATGTTGAATAAATATGGTTTTTGAGGTTGTCAGTAGTATAATAAATGTTATAGAGTGTAAATTTGTTAATGATCTTTGAATTTATGACTTATGAATCAAATTCTAAACTAGATCTGAAAATATATGTTGATTTATTGAGGTTTAGATGATTATTTGGGATGAGAAATGAATTATTATGGTTATAGGATTATGATTCTAAGCTAGAGACTTAATTTTTAATTTTTGAGTATTTTAGGTACGAATTTATGAAATAAAAAGAAAATTTTGATAATAGAAATTAGTTTAGAAGTTGATTTTTAAATTATTAATGTTTATTGATAATTAAAAGAGGAGTTAAAAATTATACTTAATAGTATTAACTATAGATTTGTATTAAGATTGAGATTAGGAATTATGTTATATTTTTAATTCTATTATTAGAATTATTTTATTAGTTTCAAAAATTGAAACTAATATTTATAAATAATATGTTATTTGTAGATTGTATTACTGGTGAAGATTGTGGTGAGAGAGAAATTTTAAGGAATAATTTATTGAAAAAGCCACAAGGTAACCATGCTTTTAATTTATGATTAGTGTTACTTCATGTTAATTGGGTGATTATTGAGAAAATTATGAATTTTGTAATATTGTATAATTGTACAATATTATTATGAATTTGTTTATTTATTGTGGGAGGTGTTGGGAGACTTGCTATTATTGTTGTAATTATGTGCCACGTGGTACGCCCCTATTGGAGCTCAATAGGTGGTTTGTAAGGGCTCGGGCTAATCTACCTTTGGCCGGGTAATTTAGTACCGAGTGAGGGCTACGGCTCGAGGTTAATGGAGGGATATAAGGATGGTTGTTTGTGTGTATTATAATATTTCTTATATTTGTTGGAATTATATTATTTTTAATTCTCACTTAGTAAGCACACACTTAACTGTTTGTATACACTATCATAAATTGGCTTTGGGTTACTGGGACTTTTGAGTCTCATTATGTGGTTAACAATTTTCAGGAGAAGAGCCACGAGTGACACGTGGAGGAGTCCCAGAGGCTTAGTGGTATAGATCCACTGTCTCTTTTGGGTATTTAATTTATGATTTATAATGTGTTATATTGCCAATATTAGGGCTTTTTGTTTATTGTCAATTATATGAATATATAAATGTAATCATGTCTTTCAAACTATTTCTATTTTTGGTACAATTTGGATGACTGTAATTTTAATATTTGGTTTACTTTGGATTGGTTAAAATGGCATGATTATAAGGCCAAATAACTGGCTTGTGTTGAAAATTGACTAAATTGTTTATTTTACTTGTTGGGAGTATAAGGATGGACAAATGTGATTTAGTTTACTTGTTGGGAGTATAAGGATGGACAAATGTGATTTAGCCTAATGGCATGTGGGAGGTAAAAATTTATCTGAAATGTTATAGTGTGTGAGTTGAAGCCAATTATAAAATATTTTATATCGAAATTATTGATATAAAAATGTGTTGGGTGGCTGTAACCCAACTATGGTTGAGTTAAATTATTTAAAAAAAAAAAAATTTGGTGTGTTACATTAGACATGCATGTTTGGCCCAAAAAAACTTATTAAGCATGCATAGCATGATGTTATGAATTTGTTTGGCCATCAAAGAACAAGTTCCATGAAAATGGGTAATTGCAGAGATTATCAAGAAAAAGTTTTCAGTTAATCCTAAGAGAGTGGGTTATGACACTTAAAGCTCAAAGTCTTGGGTTTTGGTTTATGTAAATGCAAAAAATGTCTTTGAAAGAGAAGATAGATGTTAAGTTAGACTCCAAATTCCAATCAATTATTTGAACTCCTCGATTAATGGGATGGGTTAAGATTAACACTAATAGGGTTATGTCTCTTATGAGTAATAAAGTGGGGTGTGGTGGAGTTCTTAAAGATCGCATTGGTTATTGGACAGCAGGGTTTTGTCATCACTTAAGATACTGATGAGGCAGAATAATAGGCTGTTTTGAAGAGCTTTTGCTTTGCTTGGAACTTTGGGTTTATGAAGGTGCTTCTAGAATCAAATTGCAAGAATCTAGTTGATCCTATTGCCAACGTAAGATATTCTAGGAATATGGGCAGTTTGGTGCTAGTCAATGTACTTAACATGATCAATGAAACTAGGAGTTTAGAATCCATTATTTGCATGAAAATATAATCAAGTGGCTGATAGATTAGTAAAGGAAGGGATTTCTTAGTCTTCTCTTTTTGAGGTTGCTCCTATGCTTATATGGAGCTTAGTTTCTTCTGATTGTCTGAGATCTCAATCACTTGTATATGTAATTTTCATTTCATACACCAAGCTTAGCCTTCTATTTCACCCAAAAAAAAAATCCTCAATTAGATTTGGTAATACCCAAATCTAACCTAATAAGCTAGCCACATAAAAAGGGTCTGAAATTAGCAAGGAAAGTATTTATCATGACAATTCAACAAAGAAAGTTATTTTTTTTAAATATTCTCTCTTAAAAATTTACCGTGACAAAATGCTTATAATAAAAAAAAAGCAATCTATAAGAAAAAGGTATACAATATTAGTATTTTCCACAAAAGACACGAGCGCTTGATTAATATCTTTTTCTTTACAGTAGCACTATTACATCTAGCAACAGTTAGTGCCAGATTCCTTTCTATAAATGGGCATCAAAATGTGAAAAAATAAGCAAGTAACGAGAATAACAAGAAAAACATCCATAGTGGATTTTTCCTCTTACAAAGATGAAATAAAAGTATGGAATTTTTTTAGGAAGGCAGAGAGACTCGAGGATGTTGGGTTGCAGGGATGTAATACATCAATGCATGTTGTTGGTTCCCATTCCTCTTGGGAATTAAATTTTAAAAATTTGTTTTTCATAATAAAATAAAAGGAAAAAATATATTTAATTATATTAAATAGTTTGAAAATAGCTTTAAAATTTTTAAAAAATCGTTCAAAATAAACTTCTACCATTTCCACATCCATGTCACTAATCATCATTAGCCATTTGCCACCTCTTAGCATCACATTATTATTACTGTTAACCAATATATTAAAAACTGAATCAATCATTAAATTAGTTGAGGTTAAGGTTAATAGTTCAATTAAGGTCAAACACGAAACTAAATCAAAATCAAACTGATTATAATAAAATAATGTAATATAATTTTTTTAAAAAATACAACTTCATTTTATTAAAAAAATAAAAATATTATATATATATATATATATATATTAAAATGTAGAAAGTAGAAGCAACTTTTTCTTACACATAGCTCTATGTCTGCTCATATCAAATCACTATTCTTCTTTCATCTTCAAAGCACTGCAACCTTAAAAGCTCTTTTCTCCCTCTTCTACTTTTGGTTTTGGTTTCATCTCTCCTATTTTGATATTTTCTTTTCCAGTGAAGTGAGATGGATATGAACACAGAAGCCATGAGGAAGGAGGAACTGAGAAGGGGGAGGAGCAAAGTAGAGATGAGTTTGACAAGGAGAAACTAACAAGAAGCAAAGGTGCAATAATAAGTGAAGAAAGCGCATAGAAGAACAATAGACAAGTTGAAGCTCCACGATTGAGAGTCAAGACCCATGAAGCTTGAAACTTTGAGATGACACAACCGACGAAGTAGCTACTTGAAGCTCATTGCTGAGGGACAATCGAGGATAGCAAGATGAAGAAAATGATCGACAGCATGACAGAGAAGAGAACGAAGATGGAGTAGCGGAGAGGAGAGGTTCAAACTCAAGAGTTGAAGAAGGTGAAGAGGTTCATCACTCACTAGGACTTCTACCTTTTTTATATTTTTTTACTCTTAAATGATGTCATTTTAGGTTAAAGTTAAAAAAAAAAAATCAACCCTCCTGACCCTTGGGGTTGGCAAGTTAATTTAAGTTGATCTTGAATTAATTAAGGCTAATGAGAAATAAAAATGAGATCAAATGAATGATCAATATATCGATTCATCAATCTAATTGACTTGTCTAGTCTATTTTTAAAAACAATACTGTTAACTATTACTATTAATCATCTCTTACTACCATTGATCATTGTCATTGACAAAATGATAGTAATTAATAAATGATGAGGGTGGCTTTTAGTGGTAGTCAAGCAATCAACCATGACTAATGGTAGTTGTCGATAATGTGTGTGATCAAGCACGATTTTAAAAAAGAACATAGAGGGAGAAAGAAAATCGTTTAAAATATGAAGGAACTAACACAAATTTTCACTTTTTTTATGAATAGAATAAAAAAGTTTCTAAAATTTTTTAAAAGGCCAATCAACTTGTTGGGGAAGGGGGGAGAAGTACCCCTGCATTCATCGTTGTGAGTGATGGTGGCCAACAATAGTCAGTGATAATAGTTGTGAGGGTTGATAGTAGAAGTTGATGGTGGCAGTCGGCTAGTAACATCAATAACAACAACAATAATAATGTTTAGTGATAGCTATTAATAGTGATTGGTGGTTATTTAGTGGCAATTAGCGATAGTTAGCTAATAATAACTAATGGTGATGGTGATGATGAAGGCAGCAAGTAGTAACCAATAAAGATAATTAATGGTAATGGCTAATAATGACAATAAAGATAACTAATGGTAATGATTAATAATGACAATGAATGGAGACTAACAATAACCCGCAGGCGAGCCACAATAATGAGCAATGATATGTGTTATGATGATAAAGGTTAGTCACAATAACCTTTGCAATTTTAAAACAAAAAAAAATAATTTTGAAATGTTTTCACATTACTGTTTTTAATTAGATAAAAATGAAAACAATTTAAAAAAAATTTAGATGCAGGACATCCATTCTGCCATTGTTTTCTTCAATTTTCTTTTGTGTTTTAAAAAATGAAAACAGTTTTCATTTTTCAAAAACAGAAATCAAATACACCGTTAAATTTTAATTGCAAAATGCTGACAACGATCAGAAGCTGCATATTTTGGCGTCTTGTGTTTTTTTTCCCCCTTTTGCGGTAAAATTGGCGTCTCATGCTCTATTATTACTTATCAGTGTATGTTTACTATGTGACTGTGCGCGTGGTGTGTAAAAATTAAAAAAAGGGTTTTGCATATTTCCACTTAGTATTTTATTTTTCAAGCATTCATTCAGCTTATATGCGCACCTACTTGGGGATTTCATGATCATCAGAGCAGGTGCTTATCATCTTTGAAATAGTTTGGACCATATAAAAATAAATAAAACCATCTGGATTCTTTTGACCAAAAAAAAAAAAGAACCATCCGGATTTAAGTATTTTTTTTAATTTTTAAAATAAAAATTTACAAAATTTGAAAAAATTTATTAATTATCAAAATATACTGTTCATATTTAATTAAGTTAGTCCAAATTTAATATTAATTTTTTGTAATTTTTATAAACTAATTATACAAATTTACTCTATATTGTTTAAATTTAAAAATTTTAATTTATAATATTGTCAAATTCAAAATAATTTAAAATTATTTTATATGATCAATTTATAAAAATGATGAAAAATTAATATGAAATTTAGATTGATTTAATTAAATATAAAAAATATATATATTAATAATTAATGAATTTATTAAATATTATTATTTTATTTAAAAAAATAAAAAATATTTAAATTTTAACATTAAATCTGAAGAATTCAGATTATGTTCATTTGAGATGACGAGAACCAATGATGGTCACCGAATGTGCTCTCCGTGGTGTCACCTACTTGATAACAATTTCCTATTTAAGATTTTAGGACAACGCCACTCATGCAATTTTAAAAAAGTTTATGTTAGTTCACATGAACATGAAAAATAAATTTTACAACTGACAACTTATAAGCAATAAATATTATATTGTAAATTTTATATTAAATATCAATTAATTATAATGCTATTAACTTATTATTATTTAGAACAGCCTCTTTTTTTATGAGATTTAATATATTTTATATCGTTAATTCATTATAAATATAGGATTTGTTTGGGTAATCTTTAAAAATATATATAAATTATATTTGGAACGTGGTTTTATTAAATTTAACAAATAATTAAATTCTTAAATATATTTTTATCATATGTAAATTAAAATTCAAACCAGTGCATGATACTTAACTACTGATGATGGTTAACATGGACGATGATTATCGGTAACATGATAACATTATTATTTTATCCCGTCAAAGTCTGCGTTTTGCTAATATGATCCCGTCGCCTGCTTCTTGTTTCTTTTCCTGCCGTCGGCTGCATTTCTTGCTCCTCTCCTAAAATTATATTTTGAGCCCTCCCTATTGTGGAGTTTTCCGAG